TATATATATATATATATATATGTCGTGTCCTAGTTACGCATATTGACTATATTATGTAAATCCGCATTGTCGACGAGTCGCTCGTAATTATGATTACACGGAGTTGTGATTGTCCATTATCTTACAAAAATCTCTGCGATTCGAAAACCATACGGGTTTGTGCGACAACGTCCAAAATGGCGGTACGATTAAAACATTATTGCTGTGTTATCGTATCCCGAAATAAAATATAATGGGCTCATCTTACGAAACGCAATATCACAATAGGTTTACCTACCTACACGACTATTATTGATGTATTATTATTTTGTCTACACGAGAATACGCGCGATTTGTTCGTATAGACGTCGTTGTACGTTCGCATGTGTATACGATACACTTATATATAGATGCATTTCCGAGCAATTAAAACACTGAAAGATTAAAAAAAACGAACATACCCAAAATGTATACATAACATTATTATATTGTAATATATTGCACACAAACGTATTATAGTTGAGAAACAAAGTAATATACGAATGTCCCGCGTAGCTATATATTTATAGTTGTACTGTATATGATTCGTTTTTAACCGGGGTGGAGGTTAGGGATAATACGTCATTACAATAAAATTATTATTATTATTATTATATACCATGACCGTCCATTCGACTGTATATAATAATAATAATTTGTACGCGATATTTGCGACTATTAAAAATAAATTACTATCCCCGCGCGCGCACACACACACAAGACACAACTATACATATACGGTATAATGTGTAAGCTACGGACTTGACTAATTTCTCAATAATATCGCATATTATAATATAGACTCCGCAGAAAGATTTTTTGTATATTGCACTGCGTATTGATTGTAATTCGTGTTTTTGCAATCCGACGTCACGATCGTGAATTTTATACACATTTGCTGCGATGAAACTGCAATGACCGTTCAATACTTTTACTATACAAATAATTATGATAGAATATACTTTTACAAACTATTTAAATGGATCACCATCAAAATAGTGTCCATTGGCCTTAACACTTCGCTCTCCAAACGGTCTTCTCACTTTTTGAAACACCTTTGAATTTCGTCCATATAATAGCCTATTTAACTCTCGTGTCGTGTTATGAATGATTTCGTTAACGTCTCCGAATCTGTGGTCAGATTTGGCGCCCAGACTAGTAAACAAGTACCTACTGCGCGACCGCATATTATGTGCTCTCGAGGGACAGACATTTGTTTTTCTTATCAAATTTCGCTGCAGATTTTATACGAGAGTCGTACCCCACTACGGGGATTATTCGATTAATATTGTTAATATGGTTTGTTTTGACGAAAAATCGATCAAAGTGAAAATCTTCTATATTTTATAAACCAAGAGATTTCGCCGAATCACTTTTTCGTACTTCCGATACTGCGTAGCGCCGGTAATAATATAACGGTCCAGATATATAATTAATCTATATTCTATAGGGTAATAAAGTATGAAACAGACTGATTAGCAGTGTGTTAATAGTCGTTACCTACGTTGTATCCATTGTGTTTATGTATAGTTAATTTTGAAGTTATATATTATCAATAGTAGTCCATATATATAGTGTATATAGCGTATAGATATACTATACTGAGTATACTGCACTATGCACGTACTAAAGATGTGTTAAAAACTTTAAAAGAGCATTGTGTATATAAGGGAAAAAGCGTGCAAGTGATAMTATCGTATTATTTTTTATTATATTATATGATATGCAATAGCACGTCGGTAACTTAATATTGTATGGGTATTATCATAATATACTATACTCGTCCTCGTGTTTAATTCGAATGAACAGCCTATATATAATACTGMATCATGTATACGCATGGTTGCTGCAGCGACTGTATCGAGATTCGAGGCCCGCAGCGTCGTATATAAGACGTATAATAATATACGAAATTAAGTATTGCCTTTACATATATATATATATATATATATATACGTTCGCACAACATAATATTGTAATAGCTTGCGAACGCATTTCGTATACTGCACAACATAAAGAATTCCGTCGGGCCCTCTATATACATATTATATAAAGCATGCACTCATTTTTACGTATATATATAACATTGTATCTTTAAATAAACTATATTTAATATATAATATCTATTTTGCGTGTTCTATATAATACATAGTATTATTATACGTGTAGAGTATGTATTGTAAGTGTATAATATAATAACGGTCGGTACTCTAATTATTTAATCACAAGTATTATCAATCCGCGAGACCTCKAGCCGTATCGAGAAATATCTAGGTAGGTAGGTACTAATTATATATTATATACGTCCAGTGCGCATGTTCAGATGCGTGCGTTACCTGCTATTTAATATATCATATATGTATATAAATAAAAAATAAAAAAAAAAAATAAAACTAAACTATGCACATTGTACGATTTATAAAATATGAGACGCATTGTGTCAGAACGACTTAATATAATAGTTATACACACAAAAATATCAAAGTTCGCTTTATTTTACACTTTAAAAACGACTTACACCTATTTTCTTCTATCGAACTATTATACAGCATATGTATATATAGACTCCGATTCTAAAAGAGTGCGTTTCGATTGATTTCCAGAGAGGATTCAAATGTCGGCGTCGGCGGTGGAGGCGGTGCCGGTGCGTTTACTCGCTGGCTTCGCGAGTTCAGACGTGAGACTTACAAGGTGAACACGGCCGGAAATGCATCCGGCGGCGGTGCCGGTGGTGGAGGGACTTACCACAGTACGGCGCCCGAAGATGGCAGGCGAAGGCACTCGTTCAACGCGCACGACAAGAGCGCTCATCATAGGGCGGACCAGAGACTGCAACTGCAGGGCGGCGGCGGATCGCACGTCTCGCCGGCATCCAAGACGCAGGCTTGCAGGCGAGCAAACAGCACGGTCGCGCCAAAGTCCAGGTAAGCGGACACTTTTGATTACCCTGCACATTAGATAAATATATAAAATATATGAACGCTGTCAATATGTAGCGTTTGATTATACAAATGGATCAATGGTCTATTATTATATGATGGAAATAATTAACTGCTGCACTATATTGTTTTAATATAGTTTAAAAAAAAATTTTTAAAAAAACACACTTTTCCATAAAAACATTTAAAAAAATATTTTAAAAATGGCACTAAAAAGACAAAAATAATTCTCTGTACTTAAAAATAATGAAAAATTTAAAAGTGTGTGGTGCTCTTACACTTCACATATATTCCCAGTCACTATCTTATAAACATGATTGAACAAAGAAGTGTATGTGAGACTTTCCTTGGCTTTTAAATTTTTCATCAGTAAATTTTTCATTATTTTGCTCTTACACTKGACATATACTRCCAGTCACTATCTTATAAACANGATTGAACAAAGAAGTGTATGTGAGACTTAGCTCGGCTTTTAATGTTTTGTATGATCCCCCCACACTTTTAAATTTTTCATTATTTTTAAGTACAGAGAATTATTTTTGTCTTTTAAGTGCAATTTTTAAAATATTTTTTTAAATGTTTTTATGGAAAAGTGTGTTTTTAAAATTTTTATTTTTTATTTTCTACTTTTTAGTTGAAAGTAAATATTTTTATTAAACGTTTAAGAAATATGTTTGTGAAACAAAAAGAATCAAACTACTGGTGATTATGATTTATTTATAAATAAATAAGTTTATGTGGTCGTTAAGTGACAAGACATTTATTTTGTTTACCACAACCAATTGAAATTTTTTTATATCAACAAATTTCATTATGAGACCATTATGTGTATTATACATTTTGTTATTTGACAGTACTTATAATTTATTGTCCGTCATTTACAATTGCTTCCGAGATATTGGGACGATGTTGTCTCATTCTGTCGATTTCATCCAAARCGTCAACGTTACAGAATGTCTTGCCCGTTATTTTTGAAGCGTCCAATTCTTCGATACGTAGTCCATCGAGGCTACGAACTCTACTAATGATGACGTACGCTTGACCTTGTACGAATAGTTTCTGTCCCAAGTAAACGACAGCATAATCGACTGTGGTGCCCTGCATTTTATGGGCTGTTGAAGCCCATGATAATATTAAAGGCAGCATACGGTGCTCGGCAGTTCCGTAACTGAATTTTGCTGGAAACTGTATTGATTTTGGCTTGATCAGGTGGATCCCATCCACGCCAAAATGCACCAATACGTCCGGTATGTCCTGCTTGTAAATCTGACCTCTGCAGTAGCCACCAGCCCATTTCAGTTCCGTTACAATACCTATTGCTCCATTGACCAAGCCTTTTTGTACATCGTTATTAGATCGCAGCATCACTTTTGCTCCCATGAATATTACCAGCTCTCTCGGCAATCCTCCTGTCTTGTTGATGTCATCCGATATGACGGTGTCGATTGAATTATTTAGGGGCCTTGTGGCATCGACCAAAGAATCTTGAGCTCGAATGGTAAACATTTTGACATTTTTTTCTCGAAAGTATTGTAGTACTTTATTATTGTGGGTCTCCACTTGCTTATTGGTCGGGTAAATGCGCATTGCCTTCTCTACAGAGAATTCCCCGTCCGTCTCTGTACTAACCCGACTCATCAACACGGACATGTGAMTTGTCGTTWGCTCTCCAATTCGCAGCGCATTGAGGACGTCAATGAAAATTGTATCACCTTGCTGCCTCATATTTTGCGTCAGCTCAATCAAAGTGAATAATTCCCACAAATGTGTTGCCGGTATCATGTGTCTGGGCTGACGGTAAACTGGTTGTCCCTTCACTGGCGGTATCTGCATCAGATCGCCAAACAGCAATACATTAACATAATTCCTCCGAACATTTCCTCGGGATTTGATTTGATTTGACGATCAGCGGCGATTTGGTAGCATAACACTGTGCGTACCGGCGATGATACTCGGTGGCGTAAATGCGGACGACCGTTCGCTACTGTGTGAGGTTCATTGGTTTCAACAATACAGTCGTAAGCTGTATCACTGCAGAAGCACACAGTGGAAACGGGGGTTTTACGGTCAAATCGAGCGCGCAAGATTTGATAACAGACGGACGTGAAAGCGAACTTAAGAAAAGTGTTAAAAACGATGTATTTTATCATAATTATTGATAATTGGTTATCATAACAATAATTCTAGGCGCGAAAAAAGAAATTTTAATATTTAGATTATAATAATAATACATAATGCAATTATMACAGAATTCGTTGATTCCGTTATTATACACATTACACACAATTTATTATTACTTCAGCGTCATCTTACTGCGTTTTTCTTTGAAAATATTTGTACATTGCTATATAATATAATAGAATACCTTTCCATCTACAATATTGTTCTCACATCATAAGTGTGCGATGACTATCTTATATAATTATTAACAATATTATTCTATTCTTGAAACTCTGAAGTTTAAACATTATGTTTACGTACATCTGTTATCTGGGGCAAATGAAAAAAAAAATAAAGTGAAGTATATGTATCAATTTTCAAAAATATACATTTTTTTTATTATTAATTTTGAATAATAAAACAAATTATTGAATGCAGACTGTGGTGTTAGGCGCGTCATCATAAAGTTTAAACAAACGGTCACTTGCGGTTACATTGATGTATAAATTCCTGTATAGTAATATAGTAGCCACGTCGTCGCTTATATAGGTATGATTATAATAAACACATATCGTAAATCCTCGCAGGATGCACGTCACTTCACCACGCCCATCCTGTACATCACATCTTTAAAAGTCGATCCCGATTATAGTTTGATATATGAGATTTTGTAAATTCATCTCCCCGATCGTTACGGTTCTTACCTCGAGGACAGTTGTTGTGGTGTCTACGTGTTTTTGAAGATATATTGTTATGCGCGTGGTATTAATATTTTAACTCGATCTTCGCCAAACAAATAAGTCATATATATTGCCACTCCTGCAGCCGCTCGATATGCGCATATATTTAATAAATATATATATATATATATACATACAAAATACCATAAATACTATATACACACTAATATCTAGTATTACATGCACTACACACATATTATATTATACATATATTGCATTATTGCAATATATGTAGTGTTATTATTATATCAACGCCGTCACTCGTCAGCGTACAATAATAATATTAGTATAATAATATATATATATATTATAATAATACAATCGAAATAATATGCACCGCGAAAACGGTAACGGTCTCGTAGAGGTGTGATGACCCAAAAAAATAAAAAAATAAAATAGTAATAATAAAATAAAAATGAACGTTCGTGAGATCTTCGTCGTGACCGGATCATCCGGTGCCACGTTACCCCTACACACACAAACTCATTTACATTATACGTTCGYATACTGCTCGTAGTGCTCGTACCGATAAATTATATTATATAGTTTAAGTACACGCAAAAACAATAAACTAGGTTGGGAGCGTTATGGCCTTGAGCCAATGAGAAATCTAATAAGGGCTGCAACTGATTGATGTGAACGATTAGTTAACCGGAACAATCAATTGTCCGCGGCGTGTCACGCGTACTTCCCTGCGATACTTATAATGCGAAGGCGTATTATTTGCAGAGCAAAAAAAAATTTGTACATAATATTGTAATCACAATTATTATTGTCCAATAATTGTCTGACGTCCTCTTCGTTCGTTCCGGCCGAATACACTTTGCGGATGTACGTCCCGACTGTTAATATTTATAGTCGATGTGTAATCCAGTTTAAAATTCAGACCCGACGTTCCGCAAATCCCGTGATAATAAGAAAAGCAATCGCATTTRCATACCAGTTGTCACGTCTTCTATACCAGTGCGTCTTGTATAATAAATTATCATTCTCTTAATATGAGACACGCGCGACGTGTGTATATTAAATATATCATATATATTTTATAATATTGAAAGTATAATTATACTTTTATTMAATTATGATGTACCTATATTAAATTAATAATTTTGACGACGGCGGGTTGAGCTTATTTTTACAGTTTTCACCTTCTAGCAGCGATCTTGATTATTTCCGTACCTATATGTTTTTGTACCTGGAAAAATATCTGTTAATTTATTCATCGACATTTTTTTTTTTATTATTTCTTAATAATTATTATCTCTATCTATAGATATCTACATTATTTCGTCTAAGCATATATTCAATTGACAACAATTATTATTTAACACCAACAATCGAGGACGGTATTTTTAAATATTTTTAAATATTTTTAATCCCTTGACATATCTGAACTATAGGTACGTATTTGAACTCTATAGTTTAATAATATCATGTACTTTGTGATGAAATGTGATATTTAACGACCGAAACAGAACAACGTCACTTCTTAGATCTAAAGCATTTAAATCCCAACGCTTGAAGGTCGAGGTCATTTACCAYGCATCCGGTTATACAGGGATTGAAAAGAAAATCATAATATATTCATACGAGTTCATTCGTTCAGGCGGTTAGTCACCATAATGGGTTGGGTGAACAAAAAACACAAACATACACCGTTAAACGGATCTTCCGGAAACACACCCCCAGCCGCTGCCTTCTTGTACGCCCGCCTCTAGAAAGAATATTATAGGTATATAAAAAAGTAAAAATTCAAATCCGAGAGTGATAACTTATTTAGAATCACAGCAGGCGCCTATATTTGAATGATATCCGACAAAATGTGTTTATTTGACGTGTTGGCGTGTATTATATACATATATTGTCATACTACATGTTGTATTAAAATGTATATTACGGGAATATAAAAATAAAAAATTAACTATATAATATATTATGCTATAAATTAAACCAAAAAATGTTGACAAATTTTTAATGACAATGAAGATATAGCCATATCAAATGAAACATATTAATCGTAAAATATAGTATAACAATAGAACAGTACCATAGCCCATAGGATATAACCTTCTGAAATGTATTYGT